CGAGTTGGTGTTGCATACACTGGGCTTCAGGACCTGAATCTCTTGCTGAAGGATAAACCCTCTAAGGCCAGACTATATGCCCACTGGTCTTTGGAGTCCTAATGCTAAGCACCATGACCTTGTCGGTGCTCCATGCATACCTGATTAATAACAATTAGATGAAGGTCTCGTTCTACCCTGAAAGCACCATGCAATTTTGAAGAATGTATTTAATATTTTTAAAAATTGTCCTCACATTTATATAATGTTTTAGCTTTTCAATTGCTTTTCTAAACACCATTGGTGTTATCAGTAAATATTTTTATTAGTTTATATTTATTATCAATTTTTAGATTTTCAATTGTTATCACTTATGCATCAACATACACAATATTTAGGGCAGACATCATAACAGGCTTCTCCTCATAGAACATCTCATTCTCCCACCAGAAAAACCCCTGGGCTAGGAAGGACAGATGTCTTTATTTCTACTTTGCAGGAAAAGTATGAATTAAATCCAATAGAGATGAAGCAACTTCTATGAGTATACAGTTAATTTTTCAGAGCTAGTGCTACAAAGCAAGTCCCTCTATGCCTATGTTCATTGTATAATAAAATATTGATTTTTTTTGTTCTGTTATTCTGAAGATTAGCAATCATTTAAATAATGTATAACAAATTTCTACTGGAAAACTAATGTGAACACTCCCTTTTAAGTCATGGCAGATAAGAAAGTGCTTATTGTGCATTCCAATCATCATGACACTCAACAGCATGAAAGAAATCATACATGAGACAAAAACAGGGCCACTGAAAATTTCTAATGAGAAAGAATTAAACCTTGATAAAGAGGATGAATAAATTGTGCGAAGAAAATATCACAAATTAAAAATTAAGCCTTATAATTTGAAAAAATCCCACTCTAATAATAAGGAAAGGAGGAAATAGAAAGAAGCACTAAGTCTGATCAGGAATTTCCTTTTGAAAGTTTCTTTTCCCACGATTTATCATTTCACAGAGCAAGGTTCACAAATGAACTGAGAAGTGAATCAACATTGATCATTTTACATAATTTCTTTAAATACTCTTGGCTCTTTTTACCCAATGGTTTTCATTATGCTTTTAGTAACTTTCCATACTTCATGCATTAATTATACAATGAGAGATAATGTCTCTTCTACTTTCTCTTTCTTTAATATCTGTTCATGATACCTGAAGAAGGTAAAAGTCTTGCTATACAGTTGTGTATCCATTGACATAACTATGTAAACTTCCACGGCCAATTGGAATTTCAGTAAAATCTTATGGCTAAGTTTATAAAAAGGAAGGTGGAGAGGGGAGAACAGGGAGGCTGAAGCTCTAAACACATTGCCCTGAGCCAGAAGGAAAGAATAAAGCAACATTCATTACAATTTGGTGTTTAACTTGATCATCCACGTGGGCCCTCTCTGAACAATTTTAAGGAATAAACAGTTAATGCGTAGTGTAGTCGGCTCTCCAGTATACCTGTATTTACCTTCCTATTCAACATGAGCTGTTCTTCTGAAGCCAGAAATAATTCCCTGCAAGACCTATTCATGATAGTAGTTTGGTTCCATTTAAAGCTGCCCTGAATTTGGGGCTTCTGAGTAACTCAAGGTGAATTTTACATTTATGTCTCATTTAATGGAGTGAGTCAGAAGCGTGATTTTTGGTAAGAATGGTTTATCCATGGAAGTCATGAGGTAGACAACTCAAAGCATAAAAACAGTACCTTTCAGAATGATCTGAGGACTCGCCAGTGGATGAGAAAGAAATGCAAATGGAGTCCCTGGCTAGCGAACCTTCTCCATATTCTACCTCAGCTGTGCTGAAACCAGTGCACAGCTAGGATCCAGCAGGCACCCAAGCCTGAACTGTGGGTTGGTAGAGAGGGAGGTTTCAAGGGGAGTGAGCTGATAGCTTGACCATTGAAAGATGAGGATGTGTCAGGTTGGCCCCCATCAGGGATCTCAATATTGGGTGGCCCCATGTATTTGGTTTTCTCATTTAGAAATTTTAATTTATTCATAAAAATGTTACAAAAGCATCTGCAAAAATAATAACTACATTTATGGTTGGCAGTGCTTATGAAACACAATAGTCCTTTACAATATCAGAGACTCCTTATATTTTGTTGTGTGAGATGTCAAGTTTTCTCAAAAAATGCTTTAGGAAATCATAAGAACCTTATCTCAGATTCTTTCTGAAGGTAGCAGCAAACTAATACCTTAGATAGTGGTGAAGAGGTGCTTTTTGTGTTATTACAGATGGTCTTTCTTGAAGAAATACAAGATGTGGTCTCAGTTTTAGGGACTTATGTACTCATAACTTGATTTCTCTTAAGTGAATGAACCATTCAACTTTACTTTTTTTTTTTTTTTAAATCATCTTAGACTATTTTGCTGTGAAGTAGCAGTCCCTGGGCTTCAGGTGGATGTATGTTAATGGTGAGGTTGATCCATGTGTATTGATATCCATAATGAAGGACTTCTTAAGTGTCTGAATTAAAAGTGACAGCAATTCTCTTTTTTAAAAAAATCTAATTCTTCTTAAATATAAGCTCAAGGGCACAATTTTCACTATGTGAGCAACTCAAGCTCACTAGGCATATTACCTTTGAACACTCATAATAATAATTATTTACTATCTAACTTAAAGGTAAAATGTATACTTGTTCTTCCTATGTGTCCTGAAACTAATAAAAACTTCATTCTCATGATTCCCTTTATTATTCAGTTCTGTATCACTAAGAAAAGTGAAATCTAACAAACTAATGAAATCTATAAGGTAAATAACCAGCAGCAGCTTAATTAAAACTCTTCCATTGCCAGAGATATCTACATTTTGAAAGATAGGGCATCTCTTAATTTACTTAGAATAAATGATCTAATTATGTAAGATGTTTAGGATGGGTTTCACCTGCCACATATTAAGTGCTCAATTAACTGTAATTATTATGACTGGTAGCAACATAAAACTGATTTATATAAATACATTTCTAATTTTAGAATTTTGTGCAATCTGGCAGATTCATTAGAGACACATTTGGTGGGCAGGATTGCTTTCTGACATCTATATAAACGGTACCATATAATCTAGAAGAGATGGAAAGATAATTGATCTTACTTTAAGTGCATTCAAATCTATAGGGAGTAGTAGACAGTCTCTTGCTGTTCTAGCTATAAACTAATCAAGTAACTTACATGGAAGCCAGGACACAGAAACATTCAGTCACAATAGATAATGTATTCATATGCTTAAAATTATCACGAGTTAAACATTGATTCAAGTTACCAGACCAGGTAGAAGCTACAGTCAAATAATAATTCAGTGGTAATAAGGTACTTGAAATATCAGACCATTTGTCACAATTTCCTTATTGTAAAATGAAGGTAACAATAGCACCAACCTCATCTTGTTACTGTGGAAAATTAAATGAGTTAATTAATTGTTGAATAGATTTGATGTGGAGGTAAGACAGTTTCCCAAATCCAAAATGGGGACACATGGCTTGACAAAGGATTTTTTTTTCTGCTTCCATCTGTGTCTGTCTCTCTTTATATCTCTCTATCTCTCCATCATCTATCAATCATCTATCATGTATCTATCCATCTATCAATTAACTATCTATGCATCCATCATCTATCTAATCTCTCTATCATCTGTCTATCTCTGCATCTATCTAGTACCTGAAATATTAGAACTTTGGAGACATTTTGATTTCACACTTTCAAGGGGAAGGAATATTGGATATTTGAAATGGGTGTATGGATGCAATGCTCTATTCTTTGTTCATGTGCTTCTAGTAAAATGTTCATTTTCCAATGGATGTATTACTGTATAGCCACAATCTTAGTTAAAATAAAAACATAGAACTGCAAAGAGAAACTTATAAAGAATTTAAGAAAGATTAGAAGCCTAGAAAAATATGATGTCTGGTTTTCATTTGTTTCTTAAGTCATGTCATGTATCCCTTTTGATTATTTGTTACATGATTATTTTGAATTACAAATTACCAAGATCTTCTCCTACCTCTATTTATCTCATTGTCTGCTTTTCACCAATAATCTAGGCTGTAAGTTTATGAAATGGCCAGAGTAAATGGAAAATGCTAAAATGAATAATTTTGTTCTTTGCTTATAAATACAGTTCAAGGTTAGAATCTACAAAGGTAAAATTCTGATGATAAAATTTAGGAATTATTTTTATATATCCTTGCTATTATTTTCATCTATTACTATAATGAATTGCTACTTTATTGGACATAGTTTATTGGATTAAATAAGATCTAAACACTAGACCTAAAATTTTGCAGTTTAGAAACTTTCATATCATGATTTGGACCATTTCTCACTCTGAGGTTAAGTGTATCACTTATATTCTCTGTAATTGTTTCTAATCTATATAATGAGGAGAATAATACCAACTTCATTAACTAACAGTATATATTAAAATAGTTTGTCAAAGGCATTGATAATATATTGTCCTACAAGAACAAATGATTATTCATTATAATGTTGTTTTTTGTTACAAATGCCATGTGGATAATAGTTGTGCTGACTTTCGATTTTAGCAGTTCAAATATACGTTTCTCCCAGGAATTCTAAGTAAGGGTTTTGTGCCATAATGTAAAAACTTAATAATTTACTTATCTATCTTATCATCCATCTCTGGTTTAGCAATTACAAAGTAATTCTTACCTTTTCATCAGAGCTGCCTGAATATAAACCACTTAATTCTACCTTATGCTGATGATCCAAGAAAAATTTTGAAAGACTCGGAAGCATGGTTCTTGACTGATTGACAATTAAGAAAATCAAAACCTTTCTTCATTATCAGGTGTTACACATACAAATGTATTATAGCTGTCTATAAACCCATAAAAGAACCGATCAGCCTCTTCAAAACGGAACGAGAGACAGTCAAAAAGGCAACAGAACAATGATAACTCCACATGACATCAACGTGCTTAATATATTTAAAAGGAGAGTCCTTCTTACCCAGCATGCAAACGCATTTGGCATTCTGATCGGGGTTCTCAAACAAGATTTCGCCACACCTCTGAAACAGAAAGATAGCCATGGTTATTTTAAGATTTCATATCAAGATTCCCAAGGCAATATATCCGTGTGACCTGACATTACCCTAACATTATTCTACTTTTGTTTTCATTGGTCACCTGAGTCTAGGGACTTATGTCGTGAGCAGAGACCTGCCTGGTAGTAAAATATTTGAGGGGTAAGTTGGAAGAGATTGTTTCTGAATGCCTTATGCCCTTGCATAGAGCTGATTTCTGTGCGCTCCCATGAGAAGTCACAGTTAGAAACGCATTTGGTTTGAAACAGTTTCTATTTCAGTGGAAGGTATGCAATCTATTAGGCCCAATAATCTGAGGCTAATTATTCTCAAAGTTGGTCCTTATTCATCTCCCTTAGTATTCTACACTACCCACTCTGCAAAGCACAGATATTATCAACAGGAAAGCTATGTGGCCTATACTTTATCTCTCTGAATTTGGAAGGAAAAACAAGTACAGAAATAATGAAAAACTGGCATTCATAATGCTTTTCTTGAACTCACAGACTCATGGAAATATCAACTTTCTTATCTATATCTTAGTTTTAACTCGCTTGTTAAAACTTTTGTGCAAGGCAAATTCCAGAGATACAATCAGTTAAGAATATACCACATTTGTATGATGAATATATTGACAAATGGTCAGTACTTGAATATATACATAAATCTTTCAAATCAATGAAACATAACAAATAATGTAATAGAAAAATGGATAAAGGACATGAGCAAGCAATTCATAGAAGAGGAAAAATCTGAATGGTCAATAAATGCAGAAAACATATTCAATCATAGCTGTGATCAGAGGCAAGCAAATTAAAGATAAAATGAGGTTTATTTTCAACTTGTCAATTTCACAAAAATTTAGAAGTCTAGCAGTAACAAGTGTTTTCAAGGCTGTAGAGAAATGGATCCTCTCACCAACTGGGGGATGGAATATAAAATGATACAATCGCTTTAGAAAAAAATTTGCAAAATCCAGCAAAGATGAAATGTTCATAGTCTATGAGATAGCAAGTTGTCTTCTAGATTTATAGCTAGAGAAATTTCATATACAACTTTAATGTCTTGGTACAAAACAGATAAGAAAATGAGTGTTATTTATAAGCGGAATATGATACAATGGTTAAAATTAGAGAATTAGAGCTATATAGGCTGTAAAACGTATTTAATATGTCTATATGAAATATATAATATTAAAAATCTGGAATATTCAAATAATATAAAATATATAACATGAAAATCATAAAAGACATATATAATATTTAAAGCATAAGGCTGGGCATGGTGGCTCACACCTGTAATCCCAACACTTTGGGAGGCCAAGGTAGGTGGATCACAAGGTCAAGAGATAGAGACCATCCTGGCCAACATGGTGAAACCTCGTCTCTACTAAAAATACAAAAATTAGCTGGGTGTGGTAGCACACCTGTAGTCCCAGCCACTCGGGAGGCTGAGGCAGGAGAATTGCTTGAAGCCAGGAGGTGGAGGTTGCAGTGAGCCCAGATCGCGCCACTGCACTCCAACCTGGCAACAGAGTGAGACTCTGTCTCAAAACAAAAAATAAAAACCATAAAAGTATAATGTTAAACCAAGAAAAAAAACTGTCCCTATTTTATGAAGTTGAAAAGATCTGAAAATAGTACATACTGTTTATGGATACATTACAGAAAAAGCAAAAAAACATGCAGTGAATAATGAAGCATCAAATATAGGGCAGGGGGAAGAAATGCTGAGAAATGAAGTGTTGGAGGGCACACAGGGGCTATCAACTTTTTCTATAATGATGTGTTCCTTAAATTATTCTCTGAATGTTTTCCTTCAAGTGTGTCGAAATAAGAAAGAATTGTCCTCATATTCACAACGCCGAATATAAAAATGGCCCTTTGCACGATACATCTCTGTACCTATCTTCCTTGGGAGGCCATTTGGTAGCAGACTGGACTGTCTTCAAATAATTTGTTCTCACTACGTGTTTCCTCTGCCCTTAAGGAGACTAAAGATGAGCTATATTCACTCATTTTCCTTTTTTTTTTTTTTCTGTTCACAACTTGGTTAATCCCACTCCCATCTATCTTTACTGTATCTACACATTATATATTATAAGACAAAGTAATTTAAGGGGAAGAAATTCCTGGATGTGAGAATTCATGTTCTTAACACCTGATTACGACATCCTGTGGTACAAAGAGGAGCAAGTTGAGAGGAGAAAGGATGATGCTGTTACACTCAAGTCAATCAATTTTTTTAAGATGGCCTACGTTATGTAGAGGAGATGGACAGTTGGTTCAGTGATGTGAAAAGCAAGCAAGCTGCTTTTGTGAGTCAAGAGGCCTGACTCTGGAGGAAGGAGGTTGGATGCAGCTCAAGGTTGCAAAAGAGCACTGAGTTCTCAATGGAGATCCTACATCTTGAGCTTTTTCTCAGCTGCTCTGCTCACCTAGTGTCATATTTATCATGTCACCTAATCTCTTCATGCTTCATTTCTTCATAAATATGTAAGTAACATGGGGATGCCAACATATATGCCACCAAGTCAGGTCAGAGAAGCAAATGTGAGGATTAATGACTCATGGAGTCTGATCGTACCATTTGTTCCTGTTTTGTTGTTTTGGTAGACATTAAACCTTTGCAAATTACTAGGATCCATTTTCTGCATTACCTGCATTTTAAAGTGATATTGTTTGACCTGAAAGAGTTAATATTTTTAAATGAAAAAATCAGAGGTTTCCTAAACATTTTAAACTTCTTGGCAAAACAAAGGGCTAGGAAGCTCTTATCAATTCACATTTTGAGTCCCACACGGAAATAACTCCAGGACTCTAGGGGGCTCTCCTGCCATTTGCTAAGGACAAAGTCCATACATGTGCTGTGAAGGAAGAGCTTTTCTTCTTTCCTTGCAGGGCCTTCTAGGGAAGGGGTTGATGGGTTGAGGTTGCATAACTTCTCTTTGCTACAGTAGGCCAAGGGCAGCCTTATATATGTCGCTCAACAGGCAGATTGATGTCAGTGAGGGCACAGGAGCTAGAGTCTTGCTCTCTTTCCTGGCCATAAACAAATCCAGGAAGAGTTTTTGAAACTCCTGTGAGGTATGCATTCCTTAACAGTCATGACCTGCCTGAGTTTACAGGCCAGACAAGCTCATCATCAAGCAGTAAGAACAGGTGTGGGGGCCCTTCCAATGACAATGAGGGGGTCCTCTTCCTTGTCTTCATTTCCCTGGGGGTCTGGAAAATTGCTGAGGCACCTTTAACTAGCTCTTTAATTGCCCTGTTTTGTAAAGTTACCTGATGATGGTAACAGATTTGAAAGCAACACCCAAGGGAATCTGATTGTTCTCAGGGCTTGAAAGAAACCAGTTTCTAGTGCTTTTTCCTATTGATGCCAGTGTTTATCCAGCCTTTGCTGCCAGGCTCCTGCTTGCTGTGCAACCCAGGGTGATGACCCAGTTTACGAGATTAATCGGGTTAAGCCACAGGGTCTAAGTTTAAGAGAACTGCAGGATCTGCCCTGGGGGAAGGTCTTGTGCCCTGCTGGGTTCTCAGGTGCTACAACCCTCCTCTTTCCCTGCTCTAGTTAAGCTTTCTGGGAATCTCTATCCAAGCACCCTGCTGAGGTGATGCTGACTTTGTACTTGGTGCTGCTCACCAGGATTCTGCCTAATTCTCAAGATCCAATCTCTCCTAAGGGATTCTATCTTTGTATTTTCTTTTGAGCCTGAAATATTGAGACCAACTTGCCTTGTTCATGCCCATCTCTCCCAGCCAACACTGCCTCCAAATAATAGGGCATAGTTATTAAAGTCCCCATCCAAGAGGCTTGATCTCTGCTAGCAACAGAGAGATCAAGGCACATGAGCTCCTTCCATAACACATAGGATATGAATTCATATGTGTAACGTCCATTGCCCTCATAGACCATAGAGTCAAACCATGTTCACTGTTAGTGTTCCTAACATGCTTCATTATTGTAACCCTGGTGTCTTGTTCATACCAGGGCCTTCATAAATCTTTGTGGATTAGGTAGACTAAATACTTGCGGACTTGCTAACATTTGAGCCCACACTATGGGCTAGGCCTTGCACTAAATGATGTACATCTACTTTTCACACGCTAGTTGTACTCTTAGCAGAGTAGGAAATTGAGGCGCAGGCTGTACCACTCACTCAGGAATACTCTTCTCCAATGATGATAGAATAAATGTTGACGGCTTACCAGATGCTTGACCAAGATACCTAGATTCTCAAATATTGGCTACTTTTGACCTGCTCATTGCTTTGACCAAATAGACTACTTTTATTCCCTTCTCTCACTCACTAACTACTGGCTGTTTGCAAGAATTGCTATCTAGTAGAGCACATGCTTTGGATCTGACTGATCCAAATTCAAATCCTGATGCTGCCTCCTCTTGTCACTGTACTATCACGGGCATTTAGTTTTGCAAATCTGCTTTCTTATCTATAAAACAGGATAATGTAATCTACAACATAATATCATTGCAAGTGTAGTTTTCCCTTCATCATGAACAAGAATGTGCTACTTTAAATTATTGTAGATAAGATTGTAATACAAAAATAAAAATACATTTAACCCATCCATTAAAATTCTATTTTAATTCTCATATTAGTTTTTAGGATCGAAAATGAAGAAATTCTTCTAATTTTAAAAGTCAGAATATTTCACAAGTTGGTTGCTAATTTTTATTAAAAATTTTCTACATTGTATCTAAAATTGGACTTTTATTCAGGAAGAGAAAGATGGATGCTATAAAATACTGCATCTATTATTTGCAATAGCCAAGGTATGGAGCCAACCTAAGCGTCCATCAATGGTTGAATGGCTAAAGAAAATGGAATATTATTCACTCTTGAAAAAAGGAGGAAATTCTGTTATTTGTGATAACATAGATGAATCTGGAGGACATTATGTTAAATGAAATAAGTCAGGTACAGAAAGACAAATACTGTATGATCTCAATTCCATGTTGAA